GCTTTTCACAGACATAATCAAAAACTGCTTGACAAAGCATTAAAATATCACACGAATGAAGAAGTGTTAAAAAAAAAAATACATTGTGAAAAAAAACACAATACACAATAAGAACATAGAATACAATAGAATAAAAGCACACAAGTTACCCGAACGCCTGCCCAAACAGGAATTTGACATTTTAAAAGAGTCTTCAGAGTCAGCGGACCGTAGGTGTGCGGGCAGAGCGTTCCATAATTTATAATAAATGTGAATTTAGCTTCATTTTACATGAGCGGACACAGCTACTGCCTAACATATCGTATTTAAAAAGAAAACATACACAAATGTCCAATACACCGTCCATTTCTATCCCCATCACTCCCGGCCGGTTATCCCCAGAGAGAAATAACACACTGTGTATGTTGTCGTTACATGGCATGAACGCATCAGCAGGTGGAATCCTAGACCTCATGTGGGCTTTTAAAGTGTCAGAACCCATGGGTGTTAAATTCACCTCAGTACGCCTCACAGGGTAAACAAGCCTCAAAGCACACACACGTGCGCACACAAACAGCCTGGAGCCGCAGCAACATGATCTGAAGGTGGGGATGAAGAAAGTGGTTTCTTTAATAGCAAGAGGGATTTCCAGGGGTGGCCTTACGAAGGACACAAATAATGGTCGAAAATGCTACGTTGGTCGTATCGCTTCATTAGGTGGAGAGGAAAAAGTCTATAATACCAATGATTCTAGCAACACTTTTATTAAAATTAAAAATATGTTTCAACCAGGGCTAATACTGTACATGTTTTTCTTGACAGTTACAGCTGATTGTACATATCTTCCTTTACTATAGATAATCACATCTTTATCACAACAGTCTCAGAAAACCTCAACAGTGGATTTAAAGACCCTCCTTCAATGCAAAACTTGTGCAGTTATTTGTCTTAAAGGTCACTTATTATGCTAAATACACATTTTCATGTATTTTATACATAAACATGTGTCCCCTCAGTGTAAAGAGATTCTGAAAGTTTCAGGAAAAATGATTCGCTCACTTTTTGTCCTGATCCATTTATATAAAAACCTGTCTGAAAATGAGCTGATCAGATTTTGGCCACTTTATGATGTCATAACGATTGTTTGGCTTGTGTTACCATTATCACCAACCAAGGTAACCCCCCCCCTTATCACCTGAATCTCCTCCAAGAGCACCATTGTGTTCTTTGTAACCAAATATCTCTCAGAGGGGCGTGGGGAGTAGCTCCTTATTTTCAAAGTAAGAGACAGAGAATCAGCACTTTTGAAACAGGGCTGAAACAGAGGGGATTATGGGATGCTGCAATGATCCGTTTGGTATTTGGAGCCAAACACTTCAGAGACATGTTTGTATAATTCTGAGACTTATAATATATTGATGAAAAACAGTATAATAGGGGACCTTTAAGATTAATTTGACAACATTCTGTAATATATTTTCTCTAACCTTTTTATGATATCATTTAAATTTGATGACATTCTGATTTTTGTTTAGTGCTAATTAGCAAAGGTTGGTTAACAGGATAAACCGTTAGCGATGTAATCATGCATTACACTCGCTTAGCATCAGCACGTTAGCATGCTTAAACACTAGTTTAGACAGAATGGTAATCATTAGACATACTAAAATCAGTATGCTGAACCAAGAGAAAATCAGAATCATACCTGCTAAATATTAACATGTTTTTTGATATAGTTATAAATAATGATTACCTTGCCGCAAACATCAGCATAGCATTGTGCTCGTATGCTGTACTGCCTCACAAAGCTAATAGCATGGCTGTAGACTATTAGCCTTCTCTTGGGATGCTAACACAAACACAAGTCTCCTGTGATGAGATCATCTATTGGTGATTCTGCAAAGTGTTTTAATGTTACTGTTAGTCATAAAGTCATAAATGCAGTGCCAGCATTCAAAATCATTTGTAAAAGGAAGTAGATATAGACTTGCGTCACAACAGCTAAATTGAGGAAATGAAGGCACAGATTGAAATATAATTCACTTATTGTTAGCTGATCCATGTACATTCTTGTGAGAATTCTGATTGGTTTATCATCTAATTGAAGGCTCAGACACAACATGACCCTGAGCATTGCTCATAGACACTTTAGCAGCATGGATGCTTGCTACAATGAGGTCTAAAGGTCCTGTGTTTCATTCTACTGTACTGTAATACTGTACTTAACTTCCCATTAGCTGCTTTGGAGGAGAAAGCAATACTTATTATGTCCTCCCTTTTTATTTTCCAGCTATTCAGGATTATGAGACTGCTTCAAAACACAGCGAGAACGACCGGCAGATCAAAGAAGGCCTGGAGAAAGCTCAGCGACTTCTCAAACAGTCCCACAAGAGGGATTACTACAAGATCCTGGGAGTGAAGAGGTGGGCACTGCAGTTTTGGTTATTGGATTTCTTTTTAAATAGGTGTTTTCCAGACAGGGAATTATTTTCGGGAAGTATCAATATGAGAATAATTGGGGTTTTTCTTATTCGTTTTTTTTTTTGGACAAATGGGTTGCTTTGCAAGGCTGCTTCAGAAATGTATTTGTTTTTCTTTTGGGACTGTATAACAACCGTTGCTCTGCAAAAAAATGTACAATTGACAATTTAACTTGTATTACATTTTAAGAAAGCCTTCTAACCCCAACTCTATGTCCAGCCTTATTAGGTCCAGCTTGTTTTGATAGTAAATGTCCCCCCCCCTCCTCTCATTGTCACAGAAATGCACAGAAAAAGGAGATCACCAAAGCCTACAGGAAACTGGCACAACAGTGGCATCCTGACAACTTCCAGAAACCAGAAGAAAAGAAGAAGGCTGAGAAGAAGTTTATCGACATCGCTCAGGCCAAAGAGGTTCTCACTAACCCAGGTAAGAAGTTGTGTGTTCTACAGAGTCGGTGGAAAGTTCTGCTGTCAGTCTCCGGTAAATGCCAGGCCTCCGAGGGGCTGCGGTGAACAGCTTGCTACTTTCTGTTCTGTTCAAGCAGCTTGAGACCCTTTATTATTTTACTGGGCATCCATTTTTTCAGTAAATAGTTTTATTCAAACATCTTGCAGAAAGAGGTAAGAGTATAGTATAGGCAGTCCTAGTGTGGAAATGTTACCACTATTCATTTCCTAATTTCACTAAAATACAACGTCATATTTGTAGTTGGTTTTATTCACAGGTTGCATTTTAACACTACAGTTCACACTCATGTCTCTTTGTAGTTAGAATTAGCAATCGCACATCGCAGTAATCCACATGGGGCATTAGTAATGTGAGCTTAATTCCTGAATTTAACTCAACTGAAATCCGGCCAGGTATCCATAGTAATTATAAAGGCCTATATGTTGTGTTTTATGTGTCCTCCCTAATTCATTTCTATCCTTCACACCAAAGACGCTCTGTCTCTGAAAAGACGTCTCCAACTAAAATTTGGACAAGACTTTTGGAGCGTGCTTTGGCGCTTAGTAGCCTTATACCGTGCTATACGACATTTTCTGATGAGCGTAGGGGGGGGGTTGCATGGAATTTCATGCTGTGGCTCAGTGGATTGAGTGCTGGACTTTGAATCAGGGGATAGCAAGTTCGAGTCCCACTGCAGTCAGCATGTCGTTGTGTCCCTGGGCAAGACACTTCACCCCAAATTGCTCCTGAATGTATGTTAGTCGCTTTGGATAAAGCGTCTAGTAATGTAATGAATTAGCCACATTTATTTTAATACTAACTCCTAGAAGGATTGATTTCTTATTCAAAATGAATGTTTTTTATTTTGTGGAATTGTGTGTTCTGATATGTTGTGTTTTTTCTAGAGATGAGAGCCAAGTTTGACCACGGGGAGGACCCCATGGATCCAGAGAGCCAGCAGGGTCATCCTCACCATCAGCACTTCCATCAAGGCTATCAGGGTTTCAATCCATTTGGCTCTGGATCCTTCAACTTTAAATTCAACCACAACTGAGGGAGCTCATATCCAGCACAGCTGGAGCGTTTCTCCTATTTCCCTTCCCATCTAAGAAGGGAGATCAGATCAGTGACATAAGGAATGCCATAAGTCTCTCAAAAAATGTGGAGCAAATTGTGACTTTAATTTAGTGACCTTAATTAAATAATGCATTTTTGTTGTTGAATGATACAACTTTGAATTCCGTTTCGGGAAGGTCTGTTGCTATGCTAACAAATATCTGCCATGTGTGAAGCAGTTTTTATGTCAAGTAGTTAATTCTGACACATCTTCTCCACGTTCACTAAGATACACATCCATTCAGAAGGTGCACTTTGTAAATAGGTACACTGCTATTTTTTATATGAATGGAGTTTTTCTGAACTGTAAATAAAGAAATATTTATGTACCTTGAGTTGAATATACGGGTAAGAGTATTGCTGTATGGAAAGGTCAGAGAGGTACTTTACTGCATTCATGGAGCGAAGCCACAGTTTGAGAAATAGTACTTCATCAGATTTAACCTTTTCCAAATTACAGCCATCTTTACGGCTTCTTTTCCACATAAATGTATTTTCACATGATGTAATGGTTTATGGCAAGAAACTAAATTACATTGTTAGGAAATTCATCGCTTGTAGCCCGTACAGAGCACGATCCTCTGACCACAGATTAAACAAAGGATTCAGTAATGATGGTTTTGTAGCAAAGATTTATTTTTACCAAACAAATATAAACAATTATATTTGACACAGCACAGTGAAAATGTTTAATTGGCTTTAAGACAAGGAAAAATGACAGTTGGCTTTGACTGAGCAGCATCACCCATTTTATTCCTGAGACAAAAACACTGGTTCATTGTGGAATTCTAATATTTGAAAGTAACTTCTAAAAAACTTCTACAACCCAAATGTAGCTAAGATGTAAACATACTGTAATAAGTTAAAATCATAGATCCTACCAATAGACCATGACCTTTAGTGTGCAAATGAGGACCCTTTGATCCACACCTTGGCAATGAGGTCCTGCCATTGGATAATCGCTAATCAGGGGCGGGGTTTAACCAACTGTAACTGCTGTTGGGCAAAGGGGTTGAATTTGTAATTTTACAAAACATGGCACTCCCAGCTTTAATTATAGTTGAATTGGAACCTCTATTTGAAATTGAAGAAGCAAAAGGGAGTACCCTTCCAACAAACATTCAAAACACATTTAGGGCAAATAAAACAAAGGTAATAAGACGTCCATCCAAGAATTTAAATGAACAATGTGTGAAACTGAACAGGCTCCAGATGTGTGACTGCTGAAGGGCTTGAGAATAGTTTCCAAGCCACCTTGAAATAAAACAAAAAGCCTAAAAATACATTTGAATTTCAACATAAGATATTTAATTTTTGTTTAACCTAATAAAGCCTCAGCCAATATAAATACAAGTTAGCAGGACTGTTCATACTGATCAATGAGTGATGCTGAACGTGCATAGTAATATTCAGACATTGGACTTTTGTTTCAGATTTCTGATATGATTTATAATAAAGGAGCAACTGGACAGGAGAGTGGACCAATGATATTCTACTTACTATAGATGATCAATAAGTATTAACTCAATAACCTGTATAAGGAATCTTGCAAGGGAAGGCTAAACTGAAAAAGATTTGAGGTAAACAAAAGACTTGACCAAGAATAAGAATGATACCCACTAATAAAGAACAGTCCCAAGTACTAATGTAACACTTTAACAGTAAGAAAGGACATTTAAAAACAGACTGGCTTTATGTCTATCACCACTTTGGTTTTGGCAAATTGATACGCAAATGCAGAAACTTTGTGAAACAGTTTTCCATGATAGAAAAACAGAACAAAAAGGGTCTTAGAAATGTGCCCTCTCCGTTCGATTCTTGCATACATTATCAGTGCAATATTGTTTTGATTTTCAAACACACGCCTGAGAGAGTGCTTTGACTGACCTCCCATCATTACCCCCGCTATGAGGATATTGTGGTTTGTTGATTTATTTATCTGTTTGACAGCATGATTACATAATTGATAACAGTACATGCCAGGTATTCATCCAAAGTGATGGAAGGGTGGGGCAGGATCACAAATAATGTTTCACTTATGGAATTTCTTGTCAAGTTCCTTCATAGTTAACTTGATTTACCATGGCAACCAAACCCTAACAAAGAACTTATTAGAGTGATGAAAGCACCCCGTAAGTTCCCAGTCAGCAGTTAACACTTACAATATGTGTTCATTTTGTAAGACTGTAGTAGCAGATATGGCATCTGAAAATATCACATCCTGCTGGGGATGCAACGCTCCATGGCTATGTTTAGATGGAATTGTCTGTCAAGCTTCACAGGTGGGCTGCGTGCAAAAAGGTTCTGTGTCCCCCCCCCACCCTCTCCAGGACGGGGCTGGCAGGCACTAAAGTTCATCACGCTGGTTGTCTAGGGGTGAAGGTAGGAGAAGAATAATGAAAATGAGCACAGTGGAGAGAGAGAGACAGAAAGGTTAATCATACATGAGTAGAATAGATCATCAGACTTTTCTTTCTTGTAAAACTTGGAATACATGATGTTTGATTTCAAACCTTTTTCATGTTGTGAGGCAGTGGGAGTGTGTTTTGGCGCTGGTGTGTCCTCCTGTCCCTGAACCCGCCTCAGTAGCTGTTTTATCTCGTTGTCATATTCTACCCACTCAGGCACGATCCTAGCTGCGGCCGTTAGCTTGGGCTCCTTGGTCCTCGGGTTATTGCACTGCAGCAGAGAGACAAAGCCAATCACTCATAGCACGCGGGCCACTTCCTCCTAACCAGTCGTTGTGTCGTTCCCAGCACTGTCCGTGGCGAGCATTGGAACCTAATTTGATTTCCAATTCTGTTAAAAGGACATTAGCCCATGTCTTGTGTCTGAATTACCACGATGAGACAATGCTTCCCATTCCAATCCACTGGAGCCCGTCCAGTCATTCTCTAAAGGAGTTTAGGAGACTACAGGATTGCTCCTAAATAGTTTCCTAAATGCCAAGTGCATCATGGACATTACACTGTAGAGGGGAATCCAGTCTTTTAGTGCTGCAGCAAATACAGTTCACCATTATCAGGAAAACCCTGCAAACATGACTAGAAAGTGGGATGAGCCCTTTGTTGATTATCAGCATGTTTCAAGACACAATACATATTTAAAAAAAGAAGGAAAAAGGGATTTTACCATCTAAAAAAGGTTGTTGATATTAATAATTAAACTTTATTTATATAGCACTTTTCATACAACACATGCAGCTTATTGTGGCAAAAATCATCATCTCGATTATTTGGGTCAATAATTGATATCACGATTATTAAAAACGATTATCCATTTACTTTGAAAACATCAATTTATTGAAAAAAAATTTGAAGATCTTTACAGTTGATTATCCTGAACTTTAAGTATAATTCAACTGAAAAACCAATAAAAAATAAAATAAACAATCGTTTTATTTCCATTATGTTGTTTTCATAATCGTTGAAAGCCAAAATCGTAATTGCGATTAAAATACGATTAATTGAGCAGCCCTAGCTCAAAGTGCTTTATAAAATGACGCATCACAAGTTCACAATAAACAAGGAATTCAAGACAAAAGGTACAATACACAAAGAAGAAGAAATGTATGATAATACAAATAAAATAAATAATGGTTTCTCTCTGGCAGACACAAGACAACTGAGTCCATGCAACAATATAAAATATAAAACCCCATAAAACAAAGTGAACATATAGGTACAACAGAAATACAAATAGAAAGATAATGGTAATAGAAATGCCATAATTCTACTAAAGGTTAAACGATTAAGAATTCAAATATACCAACGTAAAAATAAATATTGCTTTTGAAGCATGTTAGATTAATAAAATAAGATAAAATCCTTTAAGACCTATAAAATAAATAAAACAATATAAAGGTAGGTAAATAATAAAGACTAAAAGAACATTTAAAGTGCGGGGTTGCTAATAAAAAGATGTGATTGATAATGGAAGTCAAGGCTGTGGAACCTTTATATATACAGTCTATGTGTGGAACTCACCAGGTCGATGGTCTTAGCGGAGACTTTGGAGGTTTCATCGCACCACGTCTCACACCACAGCCACTCCTGAGGGAGAGACTTGATGGCCACTTGGTGGATCATGTTGTTAGGAAGGTCCTAAACAAACATTCAAACATATATCACAAATGTGGAATCTCAACAGCGTGTTTAGAATGCTATGATGTCCCTCAGAGCGGCGTACCTGGTCCAGGTTGGACAGGCTGTTGGGGTCCTGGCTCAGGGCCTGGTACTGGCCTCGTAATCTGTCCCCAGCGGCAATCTTCCGGAACTTCTTCAAATCTACTACGTACAGCGCGCTGGTTGGAATATAGGAGGGAGAGACATAAAAAGCAGGTGTGAGGAAACCATTTCCTGAAGGGAGGGCCCGTAGGAATGACTTCATAAAACAAATAATGACTTAATAAAGATAAATACCCTAGACACATTTGGATAATTGACCCTAATGTTTCATATTAATAAACCAACGTAGTAAACCTTGTTGTTTCACTTATTAGATCAGGGCTCCCACACCTTTATAGACAGGGGTGCACATAACTTTTTTAGTGAGTTACTCAGATGAGTACCAGGAGACAGCGTTTGGTACTCACCCCACACGAAGTGTGGTCCTCCTCAGTGTCTCCTTCACTGTCCTCTATTTACACTTTTTGAATGTGAGAGGATGAAGATGATGAAGATGCACTTCCCTGTCTCTTTTCAAGCCTCTGATTTGCTTTCTCCAAAACTTGTTGCCAAAACTGTGAAGTCCTTGCATTTCCTGAGGCCAAGTTGAAGGATCAAATACTAAGAAACGATCACATGACTTGAAGTCATATCTGATTTCAGATGTGGGAAGTTACGAAGTACACTTCTTCAAGTACTCTACTTAAGTGCCATTTTGAGATATTTGTACTTTACTTGACTTGAAGAAGTGTACTTCGTAACTTCCCACATCTGAAATCAGATATGACTTCANAAAGGGGGGTTTGAGGCTTGTTCAGGCAGGACTTCCCGCCGTGTGTGAAACCTCGGAGCCTGCCAGCTGTGTAAAGCTCGGCTAAATCCCTAAAAAAAAAAGAGGAAATCTGTCATTGCACAATTTAGAGGTGTCCGTCATCTGCCCCCAGCCCCCCCTCCTCATATCTTCACTCTTGTTTTTCGAATGTTCTCACAGCAGGTGATGATGCCTGCTTTTTAAAGAGGACCCCTCTGAAAAATCTACAGGGAAAATATGTCATTTTTGGATGTCATTTAAATACTTAGTTTGAGATATGTTGACGGCTTTTGAAACGTGAGAAGGGGAAGCAGTTCAGTTTAGAGAAGTACAACTATATTGGTGATAATTTGTGCGGAAATGCAGGGACTGATATCCTCAAGGGTCACAAAACACAATTGGCGAGTAGCTTCTTATTATTGCAAATATTGATTGAGATCCTGCTTAGAAAGGCTCCTCTAGTTGACATGTTCATATTATGTATTTAACACCATTACATTATGTTTTACCATAGTTTTAAGTGTTTAACATTTAGTATTTAAAGGAAATGTACATGCAACGTGCTTTCTATTCTGCTTTTATCTGTCTGAGCAAAGAAAATCTAAAGTCCCAGGCTTCTCCAAAAAAAAAAAAAATTGAAGAAATTAAAATATTGCAAAAGGAACTAATCCAAGCGAATGGTGCAAGGGACACAATTACCCTGTAAAAGTCTAAAGAAGTCTCAACTGAAAGCCATCAGACTATTGTAAAAGTTGCATTGTTTTATCCCTTAAATTATAAGTAATTATGTGCTTTATTTAAGGGGAAACGGGCAGTTTTACAAAGGGCAAACAAGCCTAATTTACGCTATCGAGTATAGACCCTAGTCACAGTGTAATATGTTTGGTGTAAAAACCGGTTCAAAGTGTGTGTAGTTGTAGTAAGAGCATTATATGTTCACCTGTTTCTCGTGCCAGCTACAAAACATGTCTTCAATCTACTTACAATGCACATTTTGAAGCTTAGTCACATTTGAATGCCTTACCTGCATAATAACAACAGCTTGATAATAACAGAGTGGGTGGGCTTGCTGTTGTGTCTCTTTGCTTCAGTCATGCTAACGTGGCTAGCAGCTAGCGGAGTGTGTAACCCACATCTAGCACGATGGCATTTCTGGGTGTCAAAAATGCACTCTTGTCTTTATTGTACACAATGTGAATCATGTCCACCGTGTTAGTACGGTTCCCCCTCACGATACTTCCTACAGTTTACATACAGAGCATTAACACTGTGAGTGTGTGGAGTAAACACAAACTCACATCCTTCATCTGTGATTTCACCAACGTCTTAAAAAACGTCATCGCTTCAGTAAACCTGTCCGCTTGTAAACACCACCTCCCATAATGCATTGCAGCTGTCTCTATAGGAGCAACATGGAAGCTAAAAAATGCCCCAAAATGTCTAATTTTCTTGAGTTTGTGGGTGTGTGTTTGACCCTTACCTCTCCCTGTAGGTGGGAATAAGACAAATGGACCCTCTAGGATAGAAAATAGCTCCTTTTGGTGTTACAATTATCTACATGTTTTGCTATACAGTAATTAGCTATTTGTTATCTAGTGGTTGATCTCATACTTGTCCGGATATCCCCTCCAGTGTAAGTCAGACAGAGGGAGTGCTGAGCTCAGCCATGAACAGAATACCCTGGAAATAATCTCCCTTTCCTTGTCTCCAGAACGTGTTGTTTTAAAGAAAGTAATAGATTGATAGTTAAAGATTTACTGGCTCTACTGCAGGGCTGAAACTAATGAGAAGTTCCCTTAATTATTAACCTCTTTCTAAAATAAGCAACGGATTCATCTATAAGTCGATCAACAGAGAAATATTAACAGCAGTTCATCGTTTAAATTACTTTATTAAGGGGAAATACCTCAGTTTTAACAATTGTGTACACCAAGTGATTACCTGAGAGGATACTTAGAAGATTAATTGATGATAAAAATAATCATTCGTCCCAAAGAAATGAAGAACGTGTAAAAAAAAACATGATTTTTAGTGAGAACATTTACGACAAGTAAGCAAATCCTTGTATTTTAAATCTAAAACCATCATTTTTGGTCATTTTTATTTAGAAATGACAGAACGAATGAAATCTAAGTTGCTTTTTTGTGGATTTTCTAACGTTATTACTCTGAAGAAAATCACTTGAAAACCTGTTAATCAAAGCCACTGCATTGGCTTATATCAGTGTGTTATGGCGCTACAGTTAATAGTTTCCTACAACATTAATCTTTCAGTCGTTTAACTTCCTGTCATCTTCTTCTTCTCTTGTTTTATTAAAGTAGTCTCTAGTGCAGCACGTCATAAATTACACACTAGTCTGTGTAACACACTGAGACAAATGAGAAATATCTGCGTGGTTTAAAGGGATCACTGCACTGTGTGTGTGTGTGTGTGTGTGTGTGTGTGTGTGTGTGTCTGTGTGTGCGTGTGTGTGTGTGTGTGTGTGTGTCTCTGAGTGTCTGTATGTGCTGACTGTGTGTGTGTACAGAGCTGATGACTGATGCCTCAGCAGCAGTGAGGCTGACAGCCACGGATGAAGAGGCCAGCCTCTGCCATGGCTGTAACAATTAATATCATTTCACATTCCTCTGCTGCAGTGGCAAGCCTCCCAAAATAGAAAGGAGGGACACAAAGGCACCATCACTGAATAGCATGACTTTAAGTGGATAAAACACTGTTACAATCACATTAAATGTAAACTCCCCTTGGCAACTGTTTAATAATACATGCTGGGATAGGAATTGTAAAAGTCGTGTTCTGACTGCCTCATTGTCTTCATTTAGATCCTCGGTCCATTTGGAGAGCAGGAAGAATTCACTGTGGAGGATTTCCAGTTGCTGCAGAAGATTACTCTGAGTGGTTCTGCAGAGAAAGTCAAAGACAAAGTGAAAGTGATGGGGCTGAAGCCAAAGCAGTATGTTTGTATTTGTATATCTTTTTGCATGAAGGCTACTGCATCTGTCTTTATCTGTCACCGATCAACATTTGAGCCCTTGCATTATTCAACGAAAATGGCAATTATAATGTGACTTGACACGTTTTTGATATTTGTTCTCTCTGTACCACACCAAAACTCTCATATGTAACTCTTCAAATGTATCAAGTGTTCTGTAATAAACTCAATATCAGCTTCTCAGTGTCGAGGTACAGAAGCCTGAATATATGTATGAGGCTACCTTGTTAACAGCTTGGCATCAGATTATGTGAGCTTTGTTTGACAACTCTTCTAAAACCTAGCATGAATAAATGATGGACTGTCCCTGTTACACCTTTTTTCCCTTAGCGCCAGCGACTTAGTCATGAAAGTCGATGCCCTCCTTACTGCAGCCCCCAAAGGAGAAGTCAGGAGGGATGTCCAATTCATCAAAGACAGTCACAGGTAGGAAACTCTGTTTACTGTCCTATTGGCTCTGCAGTCTCACAGCGAAGGGTTTACTCTTCTTTTGTTACAATAGATTTGAAAATTGCTATGCCAACATTTCAAGCAGTGCAGAAAGGCAAATCTTTTGATTTGCAGTTGTGCTGAATAAGGGTTGTTTAACCTTGTGTTGCTGAATCCGCTTTGGTGTGCTGTTCTCCTCCTCAGTGTGCTCCATCTCTCCCCGCGTGAACACGAGGTCTTCTATGATGTTGTGGCTATTGTTGACCCCCTCACTAGGGAGGCACAGAAGATGTCCCCGCTACTGATTGTAAGCTGAAAAGAGGATCATTTTTCTTCCCTTCCGATTCCTTATCCAGCAGGGACCCTTTAAAATCACTTTCACTGAAAGGAAGGGTCAGAAACACAAAGCTTTGCAAGGTTCAAAAGAATAGATTTAGACCATTGTTATTTCATTCTATCCGTACCTGGTGCTATGACCACATGTTTACTCTTAAACACATTGTCTCTGCTCAGAGATAGTTAAGCTTTCAACAACTCAAAAGCATTTAGTGAGTCTGCTAAACTTATCTAAAAGAAGTATCCTTACTTATTTAAGATGACTTGGAAACTGTTTTCGTAGTAGGCTTAGTTTCACTGCATCCCCTTGTCTGCTGCATCTTGCAAGAAGCTCGCTGTGGTGAAGAAAATGACTTGGTTGAATATGAAAACATGACTCACCATGCTTTTACAGGCAGTCAGACCGCCACATTCAGTAGCTGTTGTTTACTGCGCACACTTCACAAAAGTGTACTGCAGTATGCAGGAGAAATTAAGATGACGGCATATCAGCATTAACGCTAGTTTTAAGGAAGGTGGGTCAATGGGCTCGAGGCCACCGTTGTATCGTGAAATATGTGATGTAAGAATACATGTGCCATGACATTAAAGAACCCTTTACATTTCAGTTTAGTACGAGTAATGGTCAGTGAACCTAAAATATGCCTTCAGTCTCTTTGTTCAGCTAAAGGCATTGTGTGTCTGACACCACTCTGCTGGACTTGGCTCTCATCCTGTTTCCTATAACTGGGTCTCTTGTTCTGTCACTCCTGCAGGTGCTCAGTCAAGTGGTCAATGTGAGACTGCAGGTGTTTATGAATTGCAGGGCCAAGTTGTCCGAGATGCCCCTCAAGAGGTAAGCTCTTGCTCCAACAGTAATTACATTTTCCTGTTTGGCTTGTTTGTGTATCCTCTGTCCGCTGCATCTGTGCCTCACTCCTTCCCTTTGTAAGATTATACTGCAGCACAGATGCAATCTGCTTAATAACACCACCTTATTGCTTTGGGCCTCCCTTTGCATCCCTGGGCAAATTGCTTACAGCTTGCATTGTTACGTGCTCAAGACATGCAGTAGAAACAACACGATTAAAGGTTTGAATGAGTTCATTAACATTTACACCACTGAGTGAATGTTAGTCACTATGTTATTTAGGTGTTTTCTTCTTTAATTTGTTCCATAATGGACTGTCATTAGTAATGATAGTTAGAACAGTTATTTAAGTTAAATTCATCAATAAGGTGTCCTGTAAGAGCATTTTCTTTAATTCATTTAATTAATACCAAATGACAGAACATTTCCGGGAGGTTAACCCTCACATTGGAAGGCCAATTTATGGTTTGTATGTCTTCTGCTAAAACACTCCTGACTCATCACACTTCCTGTCTTCAGTGAAAATTGCCATGGTACACAAGTTCAACTTTGAATGTTATTCCTAACATAATTGTTCTGCTTTCTAAAGTACTGTCCTCACATTCACAAGTCATTACTATTGATCAAGAATCCTAAAACACTACCACTTAGGGATCTGATCACCTTTTTACATGACATAAGTAAATAGGATAATGCGCATCCTTTCAGTCTTTTTATGTTGTCATAGAGATACTGGTCATAAAATAATGATATCTGTAAATGAATTCCCTGCTTGATGTGATTGGGTTTATTGTATTCACTGGTATACTTCTCATAGTGTTACGACCGCAGCAGACCACAGGGCTGATCTCTTTTCGACTTTTGGTGGAATTGATCAGCTTTCAAATTGGAACCAGTCCAATGAAGATTGTGTGTTTCCCCTGGTGTGCGAGGTTTCTCCTTATTACCTGCAACACCCCCCTCACCACTCTCCTGTGCGGTGCTCGCAGCCTGGACTCTGCCCCGGTCCACAGAAACATGGCTGCCGTGACTAATACATCACTTTTAGATAATCTTTCTGCGAATAGGAAATGTTGTGCCTTAGCTTTGAAAAATAAGAAGGCATTCAAAATAAATATAATTAGCATTGGTTATGTTTATCATCAGCTACGGTGTTTACACTGATTATGACTTCTCTGTGTCAGAGGGCATACTGGAGAAAAGCAATTAGCATTAATATTAGCTCGGAACTAGCCTCGGTGACAACTCTTGAGTAATAACGAAGGAAAAGAACATTTCTGGTACACAGACCACCCGCACATATTCCTGTTATTGGCCAAGCAGGCACACTGGCAGTAAAAACATTAGATTCCTAACTTTTAGGGGATTGTATATACACGGCTGTCACAAAAGAGCCTATCCCTCCTGTCCTAGAAAAGAGACGATTGCACTATATGTCATCATTGTAATGGTTTCTGAGGTGTACTGTGTGTTTGTTGGATGGAATTGTTGACTCAGAAAAAAGTCCTGGAGGATATCCATCATTTTATGTCTTTCAATGTTCCACTCTACTGTTATATATTATGTTAATCTGCAAGGCCAGCACTTATATTTGAACCAATGGTTATCTGTTTTCACAGCTTTTACCGCTTTGTCTTGGAGTCTGATGTGAATTTCTTGGCCAACGACACAGTGTCTCCAGGACCAGTTGCCCGCTTCCTGGATCTCCCAGAATCCCCCCTCCTCACTCTCAATATGATAACACCGGAGAGCTGGATGGTGCAGGCTGTCCGCAGTCCCTACGACTTGGACAACATCCTCCTGCAGGAGGTATCCCGCTCCCCAGTCATTGTTAGCAGCAGTCTAATCGCTCTCACCTCTTAATTTGGGCCGTGGTGCAGTCTATTAATCATCCCCTGTTGTTGTTCTTTCTCTTCTGTACTTTCTTGTTTGGCTCCAGGTGAGCGGGATGGTGACAGCAGAGTACGAGCTGGAGCACCTCTTGCTGGAGGGCCACTGCTTTGACCTGTCGACCGGCCAGCCCCCCCGCGGACTGCAGTTCACCCTGGGCACGAGTCGAGACCCCATCATGTATGACACTATTGTCATGGCTAACCTGGTCAGGAGCTTTCTCTACTCAAAGCTAAAGTTACCAAGACAGTTTCTTTGCACTGTGTTGGATATTGTTTATGAAAGGGCTATCATCGTAGTTAATCACCGTACTAAGTTTGATACAGAAACTGTGAAAACAAGTGTGAGTTTAATGCTTACAATAATTACTCGAGCCCCTGCTGTTTTAACTACAACAGGGATATTTCCAGCTGAAAGCCAGTCCTGGTGCCTGGACCCTGAGATTACGTCAAGGGAGATCAGAGGATATTTATCAGGTTCTCACGTGAGTATTCACACCACTTTCAATTCCTATCTCTTCCTTACAGACATTGATATACTATATATTAAACATAAAATATATATTAGGTAATGATACTAATTCAGGCTGCTTCTTAAGTAGCACAGCATGAAGGTTGTTTTCAGCTACCTCTCCATTTCATGCCGGTAGCTATGAAGCCCATCACTATGGTAACATAGAGAGCTGCTGACAGTGTAGCAGCTGAAGGTTTTGATGAGTGCAGGGAGTTCTGCTCGCTACAGAGCGGAGAGAGACAGGTAGGAGGAGAGGGATGCTATTAAAGAGAAGACAAAGTGGAGGGATGATTCAGCTGGTCGCCTGCCATGCCAGACAGCGAAATATCAGCAGAATGTGTTTCAGTTTGGACGGCGTAGGTGTCAAAGGCTGCATATACTAGACACAGCGTGTTGGCGCTGTCTAATTTCCCCGGACAAATAAAAACATATTGTGCTTTGGTTGCTTTGATGCTTTTTGAACAGAATACAAAAAAACATCCATGTATTCTTTTAATTCTGGACTTCTAATTGAGAAAAAAGTCAAATTTGACCCAAGCCAAATTATTTGTAATTTTTTAAAGGAACTAATAGCTCATAATATAAATTCTGCATTACATGATAATCAAGAACCCTGAATCCAGTCTGCATACTCAGCTGTACTGCTTCCTGCACGAGGTGTCCCTACAATCACACATATTGTCCTCTCTGGCTGTCCTCACACAAGATTTAGGACACATACAGCCCTTGGTTCCTCTGGAATCATATCAGACAACCAAGATTTATTCCCCAATCCTCCAGGTGAAGCTAAGAGGTGATGTCATTTTTCACCTTGGCAGTGTCATTATTCTTGTGGTTAGCGGCACTCTGCTCTGGTTAGGTGGCCGATCAGAGTCTAGTGGGAGTGTCTGTGCTCTCCGTTCTCCGAGCCTGCGTTTTCCTGTTCCGCCCCGCGCTGCCACTGCGTCTTGCCCTGACAGCGACGAATGAGATGGCCCGCTCTCCTCTCCTCAGAGCAGGGATACAGATTGATCTCTGGCGCTTTCTAACACAAGCCCTAAAGGCTGAGTTGCATCAGTGACAGCAGAGGAGGCAAAACACAAGCAGCACTTTGGGCCCAATGAGGAGGGGGCATTTATCATAGTGATAAGGTTAGTTTTTTGCCTTTAGTAAGCACTGGAGTCGTAATGGCTCGCTGTGCATCGTAGCCTTTTGCTCATCTCTCCCTGAAGCTTGCTCTCTGGTGTTTCACCATGCAGATCCTGCCTGCCAAAACACATTCTCCACTGGACACATCTGTCCTAAAACAATTACAGTGAAAGGCAAGTGTTATACAATCAATACAGAACAGAGTTTCTCATTAAGTCTGCCAGTATGTGGCTGGGAAGTAGTGATGGATAACATACTGGTGAGGTAATTCTAAATGATGATGATGATGGAGGACAATGAATATGATCAGAGTGTGACCCTGGCAGATGTCCCATTATCTTCCCTCAGTGCATGCTCTCACTGTCAGTTAGTTGTATGTCCATTATCTGCTGTTGTCTCCGTAAAGAAAGGAGCTCATGCACTACACTTTTCTTTCACTGTTGCTATGGGTAAAACATGCAAACCAATCTCCGTCACTGGAAAACATGGAATCAAGTCAGACGGATTGGTTGAGTTGTTTTATTAACTTATAAACTACAAGGTGATGCTGATACAGACACTTTATATGTAATAATGACTTTGCTCTATATTGTGTCATTGTATTTTGTCCCTAGACTTTTAGTGTACACTTTTTTACTACTGTCAAGTTTAAAGTTTGGGATAAAAGATTTCTGAGTTCATTATTATATCACAATGAATATGTATATCATAAAATATACTATATAAACATTACCGTAGTATAACCGTATCAAAATCAAACAGTTTCGCACTTTAATGTGTCCAAAAACACACATTTTATCATTTTCTGGAATTGCTATTATTTTAAATTATTTCATGTTATTTTGACTGCTGATAGATTTTTTGATGATAGATTTGGTTTGTTAAGTTTGAATAAAGATGCGGCCTTCCCTCTGTTATTCTCACTAACTGCAGATCTGTTATCTGTTATCTAGATTTCTTCATTCTTTGATTTCCAATCTTAAGTGAGTGTGATGATTTTTCTCTCTTCGTCCACTTTTTCAGGCACGATGGAACGGATTCCCCTGCAGATGCTGGTGATGTCCTTGTTGTGCTGAACAGTTTCCACAGTAAGATCATCAAAGTCCGAGTGAGTGTTTTTCCAGACCTTTATAGAGTACGTTAGATTTCTAGTAGCACTGGGCATTATGAAGCGTGCAGTAAAAGGCTCTAGCTGGTCACACATTGAGGATATGGGGATGAATTTAAGCAGTTTATAATAAAACCACTGATGCAATGATTGTTGTGCGTCTCCTTCCACATTATAGGTACAGAAAAAGGCAGAGAAAATCAATGAAGATCTTTTGAGTGAAAACAGTGAAAGTAAAGGCATATGGGACTCCATAGCAAGGTGTGTAATCGATTCTCACACATCTTACATTTGGTTGCTTTAATAACTCTCCCTCAGCCAACTGGGAGTAACCACTGTGGGCTCATTGATTTGTGGGTCTGCTGATGTTCCTTCTGTTTGTCAAATATACCTTGTGGTTTCAGGAGATCTAATTCCTCCCCTCGATCCAGACTGCAATATTATGCTGTAAGATCTAGTCTTGCAAAGAATATGTGCTTCTGTAGGTATGTGTGTGTGTGCACACTTCCTAACTGTTTGATCCTGTCTCCTCACTTAATGCCTGCTGTGTGAAGTGTTTGGAGCACTTTTGAAAAAAGGTAGGCAGTGTTGTTGCAAACCATTTAACACTTAAAGCTTCCTCATATTCATTAGCATGCAGTTATTGGTAACTGTTTGTAATGAGAGAGAATGTTTTTATGAGAAATTATAATGTAAAGCTGTGTTTAAATAGGATGTTTCATTTTCATGTGCTCTTTGGCATTCATTCATTTATCAATGTGGTCATTTTCAGAATATCTACAGCACTACATGAAATGGTGTATCCTGCTTTATGTCCATGTCTAAGAGTATGACAAATATACATATAACTTTACTCCTTGAGTAAACATCAGCTGTAATTGTTTGCTGACGGAAACATTTAAACTATTTCCACACCTCACTTTAGCCTCGATTTTCTGCCTGACAAACGTTTCTAGAGCTCACGGACAAAAGCCATCAGTCACAGAGTGGTGTTCGTATCTGCTAGGGCGGCTGTGGTTCAGTGGATAGAGTGCTGGACTTTAAATCAGGGGGTACGAAGTTCGAGTCTCACTGCAGTCAGCATGTCGTTGTGTCCCTGGGTAAGACACTTCACCCCAAATTGCTCCTGTGGGGATTGTCCACAGTACTGAATGTATGTAGGTCGCTTTGGATAAAAGCGTCTAACTAATGACATGTAATGTATGTGTGGACTGCTCAAAGATAGCAGACGTTTCCTAGAAGTCTGACAGGCTAAATATCTGACCCTGTCATGAGCAGTTCGCCAGCCAATGAGAGCGCAGGACTTGTGACAGATGAAATATCGCCTCTTGGCTGAAACGGCCACATTTACAGCAACGTCTATTAATGTGCACTGTCCCTGAAATAAGGGTAAACCTGCAGGAGGGGACGCCTGTAGCCTTTAAACACAGACCAAAGTTATGTTGCACACGCAGGGTAATTGGTTAAGAGTAAAGATGTGTGGAAACATTACAAAGCATGAGCATTGAACCAGTTATTTACTGTCATGCCTCCTGTGTGTTTTAGTGAAGTCAGCGGGGATTCCTCCTGGTGAAAGACGATGCTCATGTTGTGTGAAAACCACATGGACTTTAGTTCTTTCTATACAAAGACAGCCAGTTGTGTAGTGTAAACAATGAAGGGACATTCTGATCATGTGACTGCGGACTAGCCGTGTATGTTTACCGTCATACTGTAGAGCAGCGGTTCCCAACGTTTTTCAACTCAGGAACACACAACAAAAATGTTTGCGGCCCACATTCAACCATCAAAAATACGGAGGCTAAGTAAAGTTCTGATTGGTCAATTCAGAACATGTGGCACGTTAATCCAGTAGTACAGACCACTGTAATGGCCGTTGCTAAGGAGGATCAAGAAAAAGAAAGGAAAAGAGGTTCAAATAAAAAAAAAAACTTATAATTTTTTTCCACACAAATCATAAGGTTTTGCAAATGATTTGGCGACCCACTTGCAATGCCTTCGCGGACCACTAGGGGGCCACGGCCCACAGGTTGGGAACCGCTGCTGTACAGCAGTGCTTCTCGAAGTGTGGTCCGCGGACCACTGGTGGTCCGTGAGTATATTGGTAAAATGTCATATTTGAAATAAATAAATGTGTTTACGTTTTCCGCACTCTCGCAGGAATATCTCCGCAATGGAGCGAGCTTAAGTTTCACTTTCGATTGCATGATATAGCCCAGCGCAACACCTTCATCACACATGTTGCCACTTGTTTGTACCATTTTCAGGCGATTTGTAATCTGTTCTAGATATTTGTGGAGTTAGGTGGTCCGCGAGGGTTTTTTTTTTGGTTAAGTGGTCCTTGGTATGAAAAAGTTTGAGATACACTGCTGTAGAGGTATTGGTAGTACAGTGATTCTTATTGTTATTTAAGGGTATTGGAAGGTCTTTGACCATGTTTATCCAGGTTATCTGGGAACATCGAGCATGGTTGGGCGATACTAGCCTTTGGTCCCTGCGTTATTGCAAATAGAGCTGTGATCTCAGCAATACATTAAGAGCATTCTTGGTTCTGCTGTCTGATCGGGAAGCTTTCTGTAAAGGTATTCTGGGCTTGTCCATCTGGGAGGGCAACCCCGGGCGGAAACCGAACAAAGTGAAGGGATTACAGATCCCTCCTGGCCTTAGCATTTGCTTTTAGGAGCTCCAGGACCTCATTTGGGCTACACTTTACACTCTGTCATGACCAAGGGGAAAAGAGCTGGAAGTAGTGAGATGGATGAATAGATTTATAATTGAATGTAATCTTAAGACCATTTCCCATGGTATGGCTGAATTTGAGTAATGATAATACTTTTAACATTAAAAGGTTAAGTAATAGGTTGAATTAGCTTGTTCCAGGAGGCATAGCATCTTCTTTAGTGCCAGTGAATCATATTAAACTTAACCACATTTCTACACATTGCTCTGGAGAATATAACAATAAAGTCCTCATCAGTCCTACTTAACATCCAGTGAAGGTTTGGAAATGATGACTAAATAAAGCAGTCATTGGATAAAAGATGAGCAAAAAACACACTGGAAACCATCCAACACAATTATGTTTGTTTTACAGATGACCCACACAATGAAATCAGTGTTTTGTCATCGATAGAACAGAATGCTTTTGCATAAATATATTTAAAAACATTTAAAAATGACTGCGCAACTTAATAATAGCGTCAGAATAACAGCAGTAAAAGGGTCTGAAGATTTCAGCAAACATTATGTACACCTCGACGAGTTATCTTAGAAAGTGTTGGTAGTTTAAAAGCAAAGAAGTCTTTTTACCCATCACTTCATTTGTAACCTCAGAATGCTTTGATGGATTTGCTTTGTTTGGCGAGACTGAAGGCCATGTATTGATCGAACACATCTGAAGAATTAGTGATGTGGATCGAAATTTGAGTGAGTGAGTTTTTACAAATGATCTCATCTCTAAGGAGAGCTTTATCTGTGTAGAGTAATAATGAGGCTGAGTGAAAATAGATTTATTTCCATTTCGACATGCTTTCAAACCTTTTTCTTCTTTGTGTCCGGCTGGAAAAGGAAAATGAAGGAACAGAGCTGTCCCCCATGAGTGTTGGGGGTCTCTTCTTGCTTTGGTTGTGGGTTGGTTTTGAGACTTTTCCATGAGGGTCTCACACCCCGGCAAACAGCAACAGTTAATACTTTGAAGAGTAATAGAAAACAAAAGGTACAATACATCTTCTATCAGTTTGTTTGTGTGTGCTTATGGCAAACATCTTGTCTGTGTCTTTGTAGATTAAGCAGAGTAATTATATCTGTGTGGAGATCATCCAGAGTTGTAGGAAAACTAGTAGAATTGTGTCCTGGTAGTGTTAGTGTCCATCGCTCAGGATTTACTCAGAGCTTTGTGGATACTTCCAGAGGTCCAGATTATCTGGACAGTCAGCCAAACGGGCTCTCACCTGACTCTCTAAAGCTGCTTATCTGCGGGGTTGTGGGGGGGGGCCTTTATAATGGCTGGCTTAGTCATGGCAGGCAGCCGGTATCCCCAGACCCTACTGATGTGTGGTGACTCCCTGAAAGCCAACTCAACCAGAGAGAGCTTTGGTTTGAAATGGGAGATAAACACTCTGAGCAACGTGCAGCATCATGGGCCATTGTGTGTTTGTGTTGTTTGGATGTTACTTGCTAACCAGACAGTTTCTTACTCAGTATTTGCATGTGAGAGTTGCTTTTAGAGGACGAGTAGCGGTATGCTCCCTTCACACCTCCCCCCCCCTTCTCACTGGTGTCATCCTGGAGCCTCGGGCCCAGCCTGTGTTTGTGATTGAGTGTGGGAGAGACTCTCCTCCCCTCATCAGCAGTCTGTTACCGACAAGGACACACAGTTTGACTGCAGACACATCCACCCTCCAGCACAATGCCTGATTTCTGTCCGCTAAATGTGCCCGGCATCATGAGACACTGCTCTTCTATAGAGTTAGGGTGTGGAGAGTGTCCTTCTGAAATATAGGGTTTGTGCTGGTATCTCCACACTGTATTCAATTAACTTTTTTAAACCTTGATTTTCTAATTGTTGGTTAACCTTTCGCTAACACCTAGCTATTTACTTCAGTTTCACTATCTTCTAGCAGGCAGGATTAATAAGTGTCCCTTTGGGCTATTTCCTTCCTCTCAGACGCAGTGATTTATTTTCCCTTTCTTGCTGCTTTGGTATTTTCGTGTCCTGGGGTACTCCAACGTGGGAGGAGCTGCTCCACAGTGGACCACATGTCATATCATTTGCTTCAAATGTGATTTGCACTTGGACCATATCAAAAATGCACTATGCACAGTACACCCATGTTGTGTTCTGTTTTCATCCCGTTCATTAGTAAAAGCAGCCATAATACACTTCCCTTTTAAAGTGTTTTCTTTATGTCTGCCAATTGGCATGTTTACTAAATTAATGAATTCCAACAACCTGTTTAAAATAACTGCATCACTAGTTCATGCAGTGCAAATGAACAGGGTTAGAAACGGTAACATCCTTTGGAAATAGTTCATTCAGTTACATGAGAAAATTATAATTTAAACCTCTCTGTCCTATAATAAATGAACCCCGTCGGGTCCCACCAGGTTATCAGGCTTACCAGAGTTACCTCCGACATAAATGGTGCCTCAAGCTTTGCATTATTAATGGCGCCGTGATGTGTAGCTGAAATGTTTTGGAGAAATGATGCAACCACCGGCTTAAACACTTTCCTTTGTCTCTTCTTATATAAACATTCTTTTTGCAATGGGTCCAACCTAATGAATATATACCAAATATTAACTCGCCGGTTTGTTAAAAAAAGAGAACCAGCGAGGCAGAAAAACACTAAATCACAACAAAAGAGACATGCCTTCTTGTGTAGGTCCCTTTCCTAGACCTACTACCACTACTCTCTCTCTTTCCACCGATCGCTCGGAGTTCAAATCACTCTCTGCGGCGGCCGAGCTCCCTGCCGTCATTACGGCACGTTCAGCTTGACCTAACGTTACATTTATTTTTCAATCAATGCATTTGACGTTGTGTGACTCCCATCATGCAATGCATTCAGAGAAGCAGCTCAGGCCAAAGAAACAATAAGCAAGGCAGACAGCGGAAGTAGTGCTGCCTCTTTTTTCACAATCATTTTTTATTAGATTATGTTTTCCTTTTTTTTTACAAAGCTGTACAATGTGAAGAGCGCACTCTGCAGCTGTATCCTCAAGCTGAAGCCTAAAGTGTTTATTATACATTTATGTTTATAATGTTACCAAAAGCTTAAAATCCATGACGCGCTTAGTGCTCCCGTTTCAAATGTAACAGCGTAACTTTGACTTACTGTTTTATCGATTGGATAGAAATCATTTTAGATAATGCTCTTCGTATGGTGGGCTAAAAGTTAACATGTCACAGCTACTCCCAGTGTCTCGGTTATATCACATAATTATCTAAATGATCTAGATCCTGCAGAAATCTACATTGATATGAAAATCATGGCTTTCCTTACCATCGATTCATTCAAATGAAACGCCACTGCTTCAAAGTATTGCATGGTTTGTCTGGAAATGCTTTTTTTCTGGGTGTTATTATAATGATTGCTCCTGGTTTTCTAAAAAAGCATGGTGTGTGCGCTGGCTTAGTCCTGATTAACTTTCACCGTGAATACGATACCAGTGGCTCACGTTCCGTCCTCTCTTTCACAGCATCACAGGTGGCGGCTCCAAGAAGGATGAGGGCGAAAAGCAGAAGGAGGACGTTCTCAACATATTTTCTGTGGCCTCAGGACATCTGTACGAGCGCTTTTTGAGGTGGGTCACCTTGAGTTCACAAACACTCACACGCTTCCTTCCCAGGCCCTTCATGCTGCATTCCTTTTAGCCCTGATCCTCGAGCTGATCCTTCAATCTTCCTTCACCATTTCAGAATAATGATGCTGTCCGTCCTTCGACACACAAAAACTCCTGTTAAGTTCTGGTTCCTCAAGAATTACCTCTCACCGTCTTTCAAGGTACTTCCCCTTTCATTCTGTTTTTCCCGCCTAGAGAATAACAGGTCCTTCAGAGCTTTATTTCGAATAAGAAAAGGAATTATCCGAGGGTTGTTCCCTTTTTGTAATAGCCTCTCAGTCTTATGGCCTTTTTATGCTTGTAACATAATGTCTGGAACTCACAAAATAACCAGCATTATATTTGTACTACTGGGCTGAATTGTGTAATATTTTTGTCATTTCTTTCTAAGTCCTCCTTATAGATGTTTGTTAGCCTATCAACAAGTATTAATATAATTTTAGCACTTTTCTTAGGTGTTTAGTTAATGAGAAATGTGCCCTCATATTGGATTTATTTACCCTCTGGTGTGTTTTTTGGGGTGTTTTTAGGAAACCATCTCTGAAATGGCCGAGGCTCTTGGCTTCCAGTACGAACTGGTGCAGTACAAGTGGCCCCGTTGGCTCCACCAGCAGACTGAGAAGCAGCGCATTATCTGGGGATACAAAATCCTCTTCCTGGATGTCCTGTTCCCGCTGGCTGTGGACAAGATCATCTTTGTGGACGCCGATCAGGTAGGCCTCAAATGAAAGTGTCACAGGAAGGAGCTAGGTGTGAGTGTGTGGTTGAAAGTGAAAGACAGGTCGAGATATCAGTTCCAGCGCCGGTGTGAAGATTGGATGAGAACGCCGCTGAGGGTCGTCCCTCCTCTCCGGACTCACCAATGTTCTCGCTCTTTCTCTCGCAGATAGTTCGGGCTGATCTGAAGGAGCTGAGGGATTTCGACCTGCAGGGAGCTCCTTATGGCTACACTCCGTTCTGTGACAGTCGCAGAGAGATGGAAGGTTATCGCTTCTGGAAAACCGGCTACTGGGCCTCACATCTAGGACACAGGAAATACCACATCAGGTAGTTCTTTAAAAAACTGTGAAGGGAGAGCATAGCAGCACCAACTGCTTGACTTCTGATATGCTACCTAATGTTCTATTATATACTATCAACATCAACACTATATTCCTCTTTCTGATATTTCCCCAAGTTTAGAAATAAATAGTTGTCTCCATTTATTGGAATTGATGTCCTTGGAGGCTATTCACTCAGTATTTATTTGAGGACTGTTATCAAATGTGTCTATGCTATGAAAAGCAGAATGAAAGGTTTCAAGGAAGTCTTAAAAAAAAAACTAAACATATAATATATCTCTCACAATGATGGAAATACATTCATCCAGTAAAGAGTCTAGTGGAATTATTCATCATTTGGCAATAACATGTTTTTGTTGTTCCTTCTAAGTTCCAGATATAAAAGAGGAGGAACTGGAACATGACTTGTGTATTCTTGTACTTCGAGGCTGGAAATACTGCTGTTGTTTTGTCTTTCCTCCTTCCTACGATCTATTTGGATCTCAGAAACTGTAAACCCAAGAGAAAGCTTAACGTTTCCCACAGTGTAGTGTTGCATCTCATCCTACCCACGCAATATAATTGAACCAATCTGCCAGAAGTTCGCTCACTTTGATTTGTCAAAAGAGCATTGTTTTCTTCCAGATTGCTTTTTTTGCAGTCAAAAAATATATACACCATTTTAATGTTCCAAAAAAGAAATGGTGGCTGCGCTACAGTACTGTGTTCATCCAGTTTCCATGGTGATTGGACCTCACCAATTATAGTTGCAGTTCTTGTGGCTCTGAAAATAAAAAGTTCAGATTAGTGTGGCACCGAGTTCTCCCTTTGTCAGTGTGATGGCAGCCAGTGGCTGAGCAGAGTGCAGAGCTGTCATTTGATTGGATGCCAGCGTGCTGCTTAGCTCTGTGGGGGGGGGACAGATGCAGCGAGGGTTTAATGATCTGCATCAGTGAGCCCAGGTAAAGAGGAGGTGGTGAAATCAGCTGGCAGGACTAAAACTACAAGTAACCCAGGGAATCCTTAAAAGTTTGGGAATTTGAGGGGGAAAGAATACAAGTTGAAGTTGAATGGAAACGTTTAGTTCTGTAAAGCCTCATCATTCTCATCCTAAAGACTCTCAGGGTTGTAAAAGTGGTCATTGTGTCACAGTTCTTGAATTTGAAAGAATGTACCTTGAAAGTAATTAAAATCCATATCTAAAAACAGGGGTGCACATAACTGGTACGCAGGTACGCATGCGCGGCAAAAATCTGAATTGCGTAACGTCACTTGTGTCACTACGCGCCTTTGCGTACCTCAAAACATCTAAACAAAACACATATTTCGTCTACACGCGTTTCTTGTCAACAGTCAATGGAGTAAACTACGAGACATGTCAAGAATAAACAAAGACATTAGCTACGTTGCCGTTTCGCTCCCTGCAAAAGATCTTCGGACTTTCTGTGACTGACTGAATGGGTGCTGGCCGAGCCGCGCAGGACATATCCGACGGACCTGTGAAGCTTTACAGGAGGCAGAGGCTTAGATCACCGGACAACAGAGTTGGTCACTGTGTGCACGGACAGGGTTAACGTCGGTATGAACAACAGAATTGTGCCAAAACTCCGCCAACTGGCTGCAGTGGGAGACTCCCCCTGTGCACATTCTGTGCCCCATACACACTGGAGAACTGCACAAAATCAGCTGATCACAACGTTCACGCTTTGTGGTCAAGCTGCTGCAGTTTGATTTACAACAAAGTGGAGTAAAACACATAGTTGCAAACTTACTCAGGGTGATATGGAAGAGTTTGAGACAGAGGTGGAAGAAGTACTCAGATCTTGTACTTGAGTAAAAGTAGAAGTACTCAGATCTTGTACTTGAGTAAAAGTAGAA